AAAGGGGGTATTTTGGCCGCCCCCCCCCCCCCCGCCCCCCTGCTGTTCACTGTGCTGTGCAGTAGTACTGCGACACATCGCGGACAGCCACATCCTCTCCGCTGTTGTACGGGTTTGATGGCACTCTCCACCGGCTCTCTTGAGGGCTTGATGAAGTGGATTGTCCTCAGAGATCAAAAGACAGAAATATGAAAATACGAAGTACTTGGTAAGGAATAAGATAATCGGGAGGATGCGACAGTCCAAAGGAATAAGAAATGCCTTTTAAGAAAATCTACGACTTGGTCCGGTACTTCGACCCAAAATAAGGGATTAAGGCTCGACCCGATTTTGACGTTTCTTAACTGCGGGCGCTATCTGTATCGAATCATTGGTGTTCGCCCAGATGGAGGGACGAACGTATATCGACGAACTAGACGATTGACGGTGTACCACCCCCTGCGACCTCTTCATCGATGTGGGCACAATAGACCCCACAGGGACATGAATATCGGCGGAAGGCGGCCGTCCTGCGATGACGTGCGCTCGTCCAGCGTCGGCGTTCATTCACTCGTCGTGTGTTCGAACACCGCCTCTCAGCAGCAGGCTTCATGTTCTGGTGGTCTCTCCACCTATAGAAGCCGAAGATGCTCTGCTCTGTGAGGACGAATGATCTCCGATATCAGGGACGATAATCGAGGCTGACTAGGATGCTGTATGCAGAAAAACAAAGTACATGCAATACGCGACTGCGCTCAAATACCTGCCTTCCAGCCCTTGTTTGAAATGGTCTCGCCCGCGTGTTAGTCCAAAATGGTAAAGGAGAACGTTCGTCTGGGAACCGACAAGCAAGAAGCTTGTGAGTGACATTTCAACCTCAAGTATGTTTCGAGTCCGCTTGCCGAGTTGATTTGTTCGAAACGCCGGAACCTGAACCTGCCGGCCGCACCAAACGTATGCCAGCACCCCGGGAATATTCCAAGAAGAGGAGCAGGAGGCCGTGTGCCAGCAGCACGCAACTGGCTGAGGCTCATGGAGGAACAGCGGCATGGAGGGTTGAATTCCATCGTGGGGGCTTGGGTCCTGGACCTCTCCAGGTGAGGTTATGAGCTCTCCGCAACATTGTGAAATTCTGACCTGGCTGACTGACCTGTTTGTCGAGGAGCGACTGCGAGGGCGAAGGTAAGGCAGCTGCTCTCAACGACGACTTCTATTATCCGTACTTCAGGATGTATTCATATTTTCGCTTTGGGTGGCCTTCGCAATTCCTCCCCTGCTCGCTTGCCCTCAACGTATATGTAGCGCCAGGGGAACGGGAAAATTAAGCCAAAAAAAGCACATCGTCTCACGACCCACTTCACCCTACACACGCCCAGTGCTTTGATAGGTATGTCGATTTTAGCTGGATCCCGAACCAACTGCTCATGAAAAGGCTGTGGATTAAAATCACCGCCGAAACCCTTGTAATTCAACCCAAGATATCGAGATTCTTCAAGCATTCACGCACCAAATCCATTCCAGGGATCAATATCGACGAAACAAGGGAGGCAATCGGGAAAAAAAAACTATCTCAAAACATTCATTTATCCGAGTAACGGTTCAATTTTCTCAGATCGATTTGCTTCCCCAATGAAAAATGGAATATGGTTTCAGGTCCGACACCATGGAGCGCTTCCTCCAAGTCACCAGGGTGTCGGAGCAAGGCACTCGGGCTCATGTGAGCACACAACAGCAGTGTCTGGCGGCTAGCCTCTGGGTGTACATGGTTTGTTCTGCTGAAAGGGTTCCCGCGGGCGCTTCCAGTAGACATTTGTTTTTTTTCTGACATTTTTCTCCTACACACCAGACCGTTTGAATCACCAGAAATCGCGCAAAGCAGGCTGACCCCGGCCGGCACACTCCACTTGGGGATAGAACCAGTGGTATCGCTGCGACACCAAACCTGACTGCCTACGCGACCGGTCTTGCTTAACCAGTACGGGCAGATTCGTCGGCATGCTTTCATCAGGTAGACGTCTCCAATGGTGCCGCACTGGTCTCACCCGTCCTCCTCTCCATCCACCCGTTCATTCGTTCATTGTGTTTGGCGCAGATTGGTATTTGGGTAGACCTTCCCTTGTATCATATTTCGATTCGGCTGCACCTTACGGCGAAATGCTGTGTCTCGGGTGCACAGACGGGCGCACAGCAGTAGAACGTTGCTTCAGGCCGAGCTTGACGCATCACCACGACGTAGTGTCTACATACTTCGAAAATAAACCGCGGCCCAGCTGCGTTTGTGGATCCACTCCAAATTTTCCTAAGTGATGCGCGATGTGCATAGGCTGGCGTTTCATCTTTCTCGGATGTCGAACGACTCGCAGTGAACCAGCACGATATATCGACGGTTTCGTCGACAAACCCCAGTCAATCCGTGCTGCAGTGCTGCAGCAAATAACGCTCAATCAACACGCCGCTGGGGTGCGGGGTCGTACCCTGGCTCCAAGAAAGCACGGCGGTGAATAGTACCAGCTAGTCGGGGAGGTTTGGAAGGCCAACATAGCACGCCCGAATCAAATGCGGCGCGGAGGCCAAAAAGCGAAAAGCGCCCCAGAGAGTGTTCGCGGTGACGGTACATCGGGAGTACAAATGCCGCTTTCTCAGAACGAGGCGTCGATCAATACGGTTACCGAAAGAACTTCCGGCATGCAAGAAAAAAGTCCAACCCCCTCCCGCTATCTCCATTTGCATTTATTTAGAGACCGGTGTGTTTTGTCATATATTGCTCCTGCTGGTGCTTGGTTATGTACCAGGTAAGGGCCGAGGCACGGCACGGAGCATTTAACGTGATCCACCTGGAGGGAGACACGATCACCATCCACAGGCGAACCTGTGCAAACAACTTCACCGAGAGGTGCGCCAGCTGCGCGTTATGGTTCGCCCGCGTGTCGTCACTCACGCCCTTCTTGAGCTGTGGAGCTTGGTGTGCACTGGGACGCTGTAGTTGGTATTGTGTTGCCTGGTCGCGGCCTGAAGAAGGACGAAATCTTCACCCCTCTCGGCCTTTGTCCGATCCCGGGACCACTCAAGTCTAGAGAGAGGGCGGCGCGGGGGTATGAAACATCAGTTTTTTTTGCTTTATTCCTTTGAGGGAAACTTGTCGAACAATGATGAAGCGGCTGTGTCCAACAAAATTAATTGTCGTGCGATGCATTTGCTTAGAATCTGCTGAGGTGCAAAAAGTGAATGGGCGTCAACCCTTGCAAATGCTGTGCGTGAAGACCGATCCTTATCCCCGGAACATCCACCGTTTGACCAAGCTTCAAGCTCGACGAGGAGAAGGTGAAGTACGATGGCATCGTGCGGACCAGGATATCCGAGTTGGTTTCCATGCCATCTTCAGGTCCCACGGGATATGTACGTTCCGCCAACAGTACCGCCATCTCCGGCGGAAGAGACGACGTACACATGCTCGAGTCGCGGCACATCATGGAGGGGAGTCTCTCTCATACCCAGGTTAGTTGGTTGGGGGGTGCGCGGATCGCGGCGGATGGAAAGGCGGGATATCTCTCTCATGCTGTTTCAGCTGTTTTGGGGGTGGAAAATAGCTCTTCCACTTAATCGGCGGCTGAGCGAACGGGGGATGCGAGCGGTCTTCTGGGTATCATTACGAGTTTATTTCACCATGTACTCGGCAATGTCTGTTTCCCTTTGGAAATGCGCCTTCGCTAGGTAATTGGGTGTTTTGAGCGCGAAAACATCTGCAGTGTCTATCTCTGTTTCACTGAAAGATCGATGATCGATGACGTTCTGACGTGAGGAAGGGTATCGGCGCACAAGGAGGGAGGGCACGGTTGCGAAGAAGGCAGGGTTGGTTGATGATCAGAACTGGTTTTGGCGCTAACGAGCGATTCGGCCGCCACGGCACACCTCAAGAAACTGTCCATAAAACAACCACCAATCCCCGAGCAAAATTCGTTTGACCCCATCGCCCGCCCCTGTACGAATCACCCACCACCCAGGAGATACGCCTCCACAATCTCACCACCGGAGAGCATTGTGTCACCAACAGAGTCTGGACGCGGGTACCGATGACCGACGAGCACCAGGCGACGATTGGCCTGCTTTTGTTGGCCGAAGAACCAAGCAGCAGTAGCGCGAGGATCTTACGGGAAAACACGTAGGGTTTGCACTGATGATGCATGATGTATTGGTATGTAGGGAGAGACAACGAATAAAATAGTTGAATCTCGACGGATTGGTGTAGTATGCGCGCGTGTGCAATATCTTCGGAGTGTTTGCACTACGAAAGGAACTCAACGATATGAAATGATACCAATAGTCCATGTAAATAGTGGGTACATGTTTTTTTGTATATTTCGGGTTGAATCGGTGAGTTTGTCGCTGTTATGTTATGTAGATTGATAGATAACCACTGCATTATACCATATGTGTTCCATATGTGTTCCATGCGTTTCTTCTCCAGGTAGGTGTGGACTAAAACATGCATAGCGAAACGACGTGTTTGCCTCAAGCTGTGCGTCTTCCACTGGTGGTACGTTGAAGTTTATTTTGAGTCTTGAATTCGTTTGGCTCCCAAAATACTGGAAGTTAGCGTTGGGTGTCAATATTCAAAATGGTTGCACTTTCATTTGTTGTTTGTCCAGAGGGGTGGTGGTGGATCGTTATTAGCTTGGCTGGAAATAGTTCGCCTTGGCTCATTTGTTCATTCAGACATTGTCTTGCCTGAAAACATATTTAGTATGTGATTCGACATTACATTTCGTTTGTACGTTTTTCTGCTGGTGGTGCTGGGGCTGGGTGCTTGGGGGTGCTTGAGTATTCTTAGTCTTCTGTGTTGTTGCGGATCCTGTGTGCCGTGGATCTGCTGGTGGTCTCCGAAAGTCGTGAGGTGATACTGCTGTACTCATGATTTTGCTCATGACCACACCCATCTCGGAGTCAAAAGTTCCATCATGTCTTGTACCGGAATGTAGCCAAATGACGGTGTTCAACGAGCGGACAGTCCGATGCTGCTCAATCTAAAGTCAAAGTGCTGCGGACGACGACTACAAACCAGGGTTACGGGTGACAGGGTTGAGAGACACACACCGTTTCTGTCTTTGATCCGGAGAATAGCTTAGCCTCCCCCATGCCGCCCGCTCACGGGGTCCCAGTTAATGGCATTTAGAAGGTGTACAAGTATTGTGTTTTCATCCGCACTGAGACTGACGTCTTTTCATTGGTCAGCCGGTTAGCGCGGTCGATGCTAACAATAAAGACACACACACTCATGGGTTCCCGTCTGTCTCCCTTACAGCAGATACCGCGTGCTGAACGAGGAGCATCGGTTTGATTCTCTACGCATGGTCGCCTGAGGATTCAAACGACTACAAGAAGAGCGCCACGTCCATTATCACACGCACCCTGGCTGTGTCAAGCCGCTGAGGTGGTGCGTTCACGTAGGTATGCCGACAAAACTTATTTATGCTTGAAAAATAACTTTGATGTCTGTCCTGTCTCCGCATCCTGCTATCTGCTCGCATCAAGCACCACAACATCACCCGGTCGGGACACTACGGTGTGCCGCACCCAAAGACTCAAATTTAATGTCCGAGGTGATTTGTTTATTTTCCCCGCCTCTTCGCTCCTCTTTCTCTGTGCAGTACGAAGATTGAACCAGCAGCAGGGGATGTACCAGGAGATGTGTAGAGGAGAGTTGAGGGCCAGACTGACTATTAGTATGTATCTGTCGTTTGACTTGCAACCTATCTTGCGGAACCTCGGGTCCATTTAGGACCCATTTTTTTTTTTTTTGTAGCAACACCTATTATTAGGTGAATCAAGTTAGCATGTTTGGGTGACCACCGGAATTGCCCCGTCAAGTTTGTTAGGACGTACCACTGATGAACGTACTGCCTAGAGAGTAGAGAGAGATCCGAAGACAACAACAACAACAACAACAACAACAACAACAACTGATTTGCGGAAGAAGAGATGGATCGTTCCGTTTTTGACAGAACATGGATAGAGATGGATTCGTTTGTTTTTGAAAAACAAATTACTCCGGAAAGACACAGACACGATGGATGATATCATTCCGGTACAACTCTGCTTTGTATCGACGCATCACCGATACATCACACCGGACCACCACCAGTCGCACTCCTACAGGCCGGTGTGCCTAGTCTACTGCTGCAGTGCAGAGTTCCGACTTCCTTCCGCGCATGACGGAGCAAGCAAGTGAAGACGGTCGCCAACCATCGCCCGTATATATATATAGACTACTGGATACATCGAGGCGCGATCGACCATAAATTTCAAGCGGAGAGCGGGAGAGAGGGAGATTCGACGATTGGAACATGATGAGGTGTGTAGACCTTCTGCGGACGACGCTGACTGACTGCTGTGCTGTGTAAGTGTTGCGCACGCCTGCCGCTGTGCTGCTGTAGATGAGATGTGGGCAATCCCCTCAGCCAAACACATCTGCTCGCTATTGTTTCCCCTCCAGTGTGGTGCTGAACCCGTCGACAGCATCAGCAAGATATAGATACAACAGCAGTAAAACTTCAAAATAAAAGCGTGATGATGCTCATCATGGCTCATCCGAACACTCTATCATGCACGCGTAACATCGTCTAAATAATTCCAATCAAACCTCTACCACTTTTCGTCATCGGCCAGCGTCGTAGGCCACTCTTTGGTTCGATCACTCCACTACACGGCGGTTGTTGACTTGAAAGAGAAAAAAACGCACAAGAACTGACTGAACCGGCGGTTAATTACTGAGTTGTATGCGCTTGAGATATAGCAAGCTGTCAATAGACACTGCGCCGCGTCCCCTGTGAAGGTTACAATTTACAATACACGGCACAACGGAGGGTTTCTCCCCGATATTTTGCCGTTGACCCAGTAGAGAACTACAGGGGATGTATTGTAAAATGTAAGTTACCTATACAGATGTTTTTGTACTTAGCACCAGCTGGCATCACTGGTATAAATCATCAGTGTATAGACTTAAAAAAAAGACTCGAAATAAGTCCAGTACCCAGCCGGTTTCCCTCCACTCACTGAAAAGACTCCACCACATCCCGTTCGACTGTGGGTATATCTCGAATGGGTAGTCTTTCTGTGTGTGTTTTTATTATTCCTTAATACACCGTAGAATCTCGCGATGCTCTCCGTACAAAGATTTTTTTTTTTTTGTGCTGGAAGCTGCGGGTGGGTGTGCGTGCGCAACGAACAAATCGCAACGGGGTCACTTCTCGTGGTGTACATAGTAGCCCATCATGCCTCATGAGAAAAATAAATATTGGCATCATCTTTTATGACTCTCAGGAGACACTGCTGTCAGTCGCGTGGGAACAAAAGAAAAGGCGCTCTCTCTCATGACACACCCGCCCGTCCTCATATCTAGACTGTATGTAGTGAGAGACTCAGGTTTGACGCTGCTGCAGGTTCTCGCGGGTCGCGGAGGCTCGTGGCCACCTTCTCACGGTTGATTTCGAAAATTCACCCCACGATTGATTGTTTGTTCCGAAAAACTCGTTTCGTTTGCACGACACCCTCTGACAAGCAATGTATGTATGTACGTATGTATGTATGTAGACTACAGTTAGTTGAGGCCCGCCGTCAAGAAATGTCTATTCGACTCAAGAAAAATAGGCTCAACGTTTCATAAAAATAAGAAAAAAGTGACCAAGAAACACACCTCAAAACGGACGCAAAGATAAGAAACATCCGAATAAGAAACGGCGGGTCTAAATCCCCCCCCGGGGGGGGATTATGATAGTGTCTAAATACCCCCCCGTCTGTATCTCTGCCCACAAGGCACCAATCGAGTCAGGACATGCACAGCTAGCTGTGTTGCTGTGACGTGGAGCTATCGCGAGATAATCGTTCAGCGGAAACGGTGCAGGTTTGGTGCAGCCATGGCAGATGGGCAAAATATATATATATGTTGCCCCAACCTGCCCCCCCCGGGGGGGGGGTTAGCCCCCCGTCTGTATCTCCGCCCACAAGGCACCAATCGAGCCAGGACATGCACGGCTGTGTTGGTGTGTTGTGGAGCTATCGCGAGATACATACATCGTACAGCGGAAACGGTTCAGGTTTGGTGCAGCCATGGCTGATGGGCAAAATATATCTGTTGCCCCATCCTGCCCCCCGGGGGGGATTAGTGTCTAAACACCCCCATCTATCTCCGCCCACAAGGCACCAATCGAGCCAGGACATGCACGGCTGTGTTGCTGTGTTGTGAGGCTACCGCGAGATATATCGTTCAGGTTTGGTGCAGCCATGGCTGATGGGCAAAATATATCTGTTGCCCCATCCTGCCCCCCGGGGGGGATTAGTGTCTAAACACCGCCATCTCCGCCCACAAGGCACCAATCGAGCCAGGACATGCACGGCTGTGTTGCTGTGTTGTGAGGCTACCGCGAGATATATCGTACAGCGGAAACGGTTCAGGTTTGGTGCAGCCATGGCTGATGGGCAAAATATATCTATTGCCCCATGATTGCCCCAACCTACACCCCGGGGGGGGATTAGTGTCTAAACACCCCTCCGTCTGTATCTCCACCCACAAGGCACCAATCGAGCCAGGACATGCACGGCTGTGTTGTTGTGTTGTGGGGCTACCGCGAGATACATCGTGCAGCGGAAACGGTTCAGGTCTGGTGCAGCCGTGGCTGATTGGCAAAATTTGTCTATTGCCCCAACCTGCCCCCCTGGGGGGGATGAGCCCCCCGTCTGTATCTCCACCCACAAGGCACCAATCGACTGACAAAACACCGGTGTAGAAGTGTATGAAAACATGCACGTACAGCGCACAGTAGCGGGTAGCAGGTGAGGCGACCAGTGTTCGTGGGTCTACGGACATGGTTTGGATATGTTAGCCGTACGTACAAGTGTGACGCAGATGGTGTAGAACCTTTTAGGTAGGGGTACGGTGATGATGCACCGGGGCCCCCTTTTGTTGTGTGCAGCAGCCCTGCTGCCACTCCTCCTCTCTGAGCACGACAGCGCCCTGGGTACGGGCGTTGCCTCACCGTCTGAATTTGATACACTACACACACAATACCCGATAAGTACGCGGAGTACGGCCGACAAACACTCTAGAGTTCTTTGTCCCTCGAGGGATAGCCGCATCGGGAGATGGCTGTGTCGGACAGCGGTTCGGTCGCAGGGCTGGGGGAAGAGACCTCAGCCATGCAACCGCAACATGCCGAGGACCCGGCGATTGCGAGACTGGAGGGCCAGTTATCGCAGCTGATGAGCATAGTAATGGAGCTTAAGAGGAAGGAGCCTGGCGACGCCGTGGCGGGCGATGCCAGTAGGGGCGGCGATGCTGCCGTCCCAAGCCAGAGAGAGTCCTTGCCGTCAGAGGGCGGCGGGGCATTTTCCCGGGAAGCGGCCCGTGATGGGCCAAATCACCCGCGGGAAAGCCGCTGGGACAACATACCGGGAGCGAGTCCTGGGGTTCCAGCGAGAGTGGGGCCTGGCGTAGGAGCTGACCGCGGGGAAGCGACGGGGTTAAACCCCCCAGGTGAGATACCCGCAACTCGTGGTAACGGTGATTACATCGATAGCTTCAATCACTCGAAGAAAGTGAACGTGGTGGCCCCTCGCCTTGAGGGGGGCCGCAGCAGCGGATTTAGCACGTGGCGAAAAGCTTTCATCCAGG